GATTAAATATTAAATATTAACAAATATTCTTTTATATGTTAGTTTAAATTAAATCTTGTTTATGGGTTTCTATTTTCATTCGTAAAAAAAAAAAATTGGAAAAAATCATAACCTTTGAAAAAATACCGTCATTCGAGTACTATCACTTTTTTTCTAAAGTCTAATTCTATTTTATTTTTTTTTTATTTTTTTTTTATTATTTAAACTGTAGTAACAGTAGAACGTTGATAGAAACGATTGATAATAAAAAAAAAATAAAAAAAATAAAAAAAAAAAACAAGAAAAAAGTTAAAGAGAACGATAGCCTTTATGAATTTAAAAAAAGGAAATGATGATGATCGATATCCTGACTAAGCTTTATACGTCATTATGGAAAATGGTTCTTGGTTGGTGATCGTGTTATAAATTTGGACTTCCGTATGATCGATTTTCACGATCGAAATTGCCTATGTATGTGTCTGAGTGTATATATATATGTGTGTGTGTGTGTGTATCTGAAGTGACCTTAAGCGGAGATATAAATTATTCAAAACGTACCTTCACTTAGAAATACAGGTAGATGGGTAGGTACATTGTCCGAACGATCATTACTAGGTTATTCGAAAAATTCAATTACTATCTCACATTTGATACTCATACATATTATACATACACGTTATTTTCTTCTTCTTCCTCCTCTTTTTTGATCATTACTATTTCATTAATTCAAATTCTAATTGATGAAACACTATAATCACTCACAGGTGACATTAATGAGACGATATATATATATTATTTTTGTTAACTACGATCTTAACGATGCTTAATCACTTGTCTTTCATATAAAAAAATAATAATCTGTCATAAGTTTCATTAATAAAAAATTTGATTTCTCTCGACATACTGACCTATTATTATAAAAATTAATAAAATTATTTAAAAAAAAAAAAAAAATAATTTGTATTTGTTTTGGGGTATTTTGTTCAATTTTATTCTCCTCGTTGTATTATTTTTCTACGAAATATTTTTTTATATTTATATTTTTCTTTTTCTTTGTTATTTTTCAATTT